TAGTAAAGCGTGTCATTGAGCTACCCTCACTCAAGGGGTAGGTTCTTGCGGTGCCCGACGTGCGGGCTTAGCGGGTGATGCTAATTAGCCGCCGAACCACCAAGTGAGCGGTCGACACAACGGGGACTAGCGTGTTGGCAAACACGTGAACCTCGGGAGAAAAATCATCGTGTCAACCTTGTTCTTCCCGTTGGTTTGCATCCCCATTACACAAGCTTGCAATTACTTATATATACATCTTAAGCTTGTGTAGTTGCTCTTGTAATTAGATAGCTTGTGTAGCTAGCTAATTACCTTCTTGCTTGTGTAGCATAGAAGTAGCTCCCTTGCGTGGCTAATTTGGTTTTAGTAACCTTGTTAGTCACATTGCTTAGTTTGTGTAGCTAAGTATTTGCGCTCTCTAATTAGGCATTGGTTGCCTTGTTATTGAGCATTGCTAGTGAGCTTAGTTAGCTTTGTGCTTTTGCTTACTAGCATGTATAGGAGCTCCCTTGTTACTTAAAGTACTAGTGGCATAGGTTTGTGTGACCTTGCTCCTAGAATTGTTTAGGAGAGCTCTAGCTAGCCCGGCACCTTAGTTGCTTTATTAGTATCTTTGCAAGGTGCTAGTGAACATATATAGAGGGGTGTAGTCTTGGCTAGACCGATTGTTTTAATTCCGCATTTATATCGGTTAGCCGACACGATTAAGTTTTAGAAAAGACTATTCACCCCCCCTCTAGTCCGCCATCTCGACCCTTCATACTTGCTCTTCACCGTTGCTATCGTCCATCGGCGCCAAGTCTTGCTCAAGCTTCACCGCCACGCGGTCCATCACTCCAAAGCCTTTGACTTGCCCTTCACGCTTGCAACCGGTCCATCAAGCCAAGTCTTGTCTTGATCTTCTCCACCTTGATCACATGACTCAATGTCATGTCTCTTGTGCAATAAGCTCCTTCATCATCACATGTGTGAGCTTTGCAACATCTCCAAGCCATTTTCACCTCCATGGCATATGTTGCTCATACACATGTACCTGTGGACTAATCACCTGTGTATCTCACATAAACACAATTAGTCCACCTAGGTTGTCACTCAATTACCAAAACCAACAAGGACCTTTCACACTAGCCCATGTGAAGATCCACGTTGCGTAAAGACGGAGCTGCAGCGCCGGCGATGAGCTCCTAGCTTCTGACACCCATTCACTACTACTTCAACCTCTTGCGTGCCTGAGCAGTCAGAAAGGATATGTTCATATATGAAGGTAATTTTTTCTCTTTCTAAGTCCAACTTGACTGCACATGACAAGATCCATATAAAATTCCACATTTTTAGATAATTAAACAACTTAATTGCAAGCTTTGTGATGAAACTGCCGAAGTATAGCGACCACTTATGAAATGTCAAGTTAGCATATGCTACATTTTTCTTCCATCTGAGTTTGTGGAAGAAAAAAGTTCTAAATTTTGAGTGTGCAATCAAAATACTTGAGCCAGGTACAAACACTTCTCAGTATCTATTCCCGTGTCTGATAGGGTTTACCTTTTCTAAAATCTTAGCAAAGGGCTTCCATACTCATGTAAGATTCTTTCCTATAAGCACTCATCATATTGGGTACTATCATTTGTTTATGCTCTAGGAGTCTGCAGCTGCAATGCCTACAGGTTGTAGTGGAGGCTTACTACCATGCTGCTTAACAAGGTTACAGAATTATATATAGATAAAAAGTAAAACTTATTTTATATGATTTAGGATATTTTAGTAATACGAAAGCAAAAAATACATACTTATACCTTTTACTACACATACAGTCAAATAATAGGCTCTGAAATAGCAGCTCATGTATGTCAAATTGTTGCTTGACATGTGATTATGCTAATCTCAGTGCTTGGATTAATGGTTAGTTCTTTGCTACTTGTAGTTGGGAAAATACAAGTCACAACCAATTTTTTGGATATGACTTCAGTACCAGCCTCACTATAATGTGCATCCAGAAATATCGGAATAAAAAATATGGCTTTTGCTGTAGTAGATCCTAATTTGACATCTAGAAAGTAATATTACACTTATACAAGTAGATTTTAGTTATAGAAAATCCTGCAATGATGCTATTGGGAAAAAAATGAAATATGAACAATACGCTGGTAGGCATTTCCAACCACTGCACAGTTCTTTGGTTGTTCTGAAGTTTACCACTCAGTTTCTTTATTAACTCTGTCATTTCTCCAAATTCATGACCATTTTCATCAGCACATGTCACATATGCAATGCAAAGATTAGAAAGTTTTTTTCATATGATTGAGCTACTGTGTCAAACTTGTGATCCGGTGATCCAAATCCAACTGCCTTCCCACGAGCGGTTATGCTGATTAGCAGCAAAATATAGAACTAATCTTAAACGATGGCTCACTCTCCTAAGCACCTATTTTTTACCTAAAAAATGTAAACATGGTCCAAGCTATTTTCTTAAGTATAGTAAAATACAGCAAAAGAAAGAAAAATATAACAGAAGCATCAAGAAAACCATGAAAAACTTTAGAACAGGACAAACTATTCATCCAAGAAGAAAGACTATTGCTAAGAGAGGACTTAAATCTATGTAGGTGTAGCTTTGTAGCGCGTACAAAACAAAATTTCCAGATACTACTTATTTTCCATTGAATAGAGAGCTCTTGAGAACAAACGTCAGCTAGCAGCAGGTAGCAATACACAATATTCACAAACACCCTACACTTGTGCATTGTTCATAACCTTATTGCTGAGATCAGGTGAGAATCCATCTAATGATTCGTTCATGAGCCTATTTTGTACTTCTTAGGTTGATTTAATGCAAATTTCTTGGTTTCTTATCTCTTACCCTGCACATGCATGCGATGGATACAAACCATGTGCTCAATGGTTTGTCTCGGTCGAATGATCGTCTGCTGACTAATAAACAAAGTAACAAACCAAACAAACATGTATATGTCAGCAGATAATTATAGTTAGTTCCATTGACATTTATTTTGATCAAGTTATGTAGTAGCCCCAAGATACATTATGATATTTAATTAATTGTAATGTGACTCAAGTAATCTTAGTTCAAAATCCATGTCCACTTCCTCAAAGCGAACACTTCTCGGCGCACAAGATGCCTTCTCTTGGTGTTCATCAGGCTGCTCTTCTACGAATTCAGTTGACAAACGTTTTTTTTCCTTTGTTCAGTTTTCATCACTCAAGGTCAACATGTGATTACAAATGTCTCCCATTTCAAATATATTGTGTTTGGGACAAGCTCGGTAGTTGATGTCTTTCGTGAAGGTTTGAAGCACTACAAGAAATGCAAGGTCAGTGTGTAATGCAGGAAATCCACGCTAATTATTTGACATAATTGTTGCTTGCTTTATTAATCTTTTATGCTTATGTGTCATGCAGTAGCAACATAATTACTAAGCACAACAGTGGGTGCTAAAGAATATGACACTAATAATTTCCAATAGCCACTTTGAATATACGCAGATCAATATAAGCTTCCTCTAATACCATTTCCTTATACCTTGTTTGCTAAGTTCCCAAAATGTAAACCATGTTGGCATATGCAAAATTCTGGAAGTTGCACGGGTAATTCATTGCTGCAACTTATCATTTATATTTTATTATGCACAAATAGATGAGAAACAAGAACAAAGCTCATCATATTTTATGAATTATGATTGTGAACTCTATAAGGAAGCTGTGGCTCTCAGTTCAGCTGGACAATTATAACCTTTTATAGATTCATTTTCTTTTCAGTGGACCAGATGTGTCATTATAAAATATATATTCAAGAGTTGGGTAGGCTCTATGTTCTTTTTCATTTGTGGTTTGGCAATTGGCATCAGTTCCTAGACATGTACTGATTTGCATCAAGAGTTTTATAGACGTAAGTACTCAAATATAGATAGAAGTTGTAGGCTCTCAATTCAGCTGAACACCAAATCTATTTAGTTTGTGTTGTTACCTCAGCCGTGCCATCAATTTATTCTTCACTATAAGTCGTGACAATAAATCTTCTTAAAAGCTTCACTAAATGCTAAATTTCAGATCAAATGCATTTTAATTACTAGTACAATAAATCATACTAAAGCTCATGGATTCACGTCTTCATAATCGTGTATTGCTCCTTCATTTTTTTGTGAAGGACTATTATCACTGATTTATCTTTGTCATGGAATATATATTCCTATCACATTAGTCGAGAAGATGTCTAACACTCTATTGAGCTTCAACACTCTATTGTTTAAACATAGGCCAATAAAATCACATGGTTATCAAAGATGGCGCAGCAACGCCGTGCCTAGGTTTTCTAGTACCCTCCTATTTCTATAGGGTGGGTGGTATTATCCCATTAGAAACGTTTACAACTCTAGAATCTACACGTGTTTCTAAAGTTGGACCTGGACTCTGCTAAAATCGGTCTGGCTAGTTACATATTTACATGCATTTGTGGATGGCTCGTATAATATTGCTCTTCTTTAAACAGTCAAATTACTGAATGCTGAACATACAAAAAAAAAACCTATACCAATAGATTATAGATGGCATTTTATATTATGATGAAGAAAATAGACACCGAAATTCTCCTGTATGATCTGCGCATAGATCCAGACCCTCGACCAACTGTCAGCTTCCTTCAGAATACTGAACAGGCATAAAAATACTGAATAGACAGATTCTGGTTTCACAACGTAACATGTAAAGTCAGTTCAGAATTATACACGAGCTCACCGCCTCACCTCAGATGTTGGGTGCAGCTGCCAACTGCGCAAGCAGCAAGCTGTATGCCCGGGAACATTCCCGTTCCCTCAGAACGGCTCAAACTACAAAAGTGAGATGTTTAAAACCCCTTGGCCTCTCTACATTTGATATATCAGCCTACAACTCAAACAGTGCTGTTAAACCGCAGCCACCACATTCCACAGATGTGTCAAAAAAGGCTTAACAAAAGGCAAAAGATGAGACACCTAAGCGGCTGCCGCGGACACACCACCATGTTCTCTTCATGGGTACGGTCTCTTAGCCATCTCCCGGTAAACCATGTCGATGAAATTATCATTCTGCCAAAAGAAAAGATAGTCTCAGCAGAAGTTTCACAGGGAAGATGTGGTGAGCTTTGTTAACAGACATGTTTGTGAAAACGCGATACAAAATTATTCCTGTCGAGAAAGGTTGTACACTTGACAATCCTTGTAGAAATAATTAGGTTGGTCTAGAAAAAAAAAATCCTTGTAGAAATAACAAGCCTCAGTTGACTGCGAACTCTCAAAAAAATCCTTGCAGAAATAACAAGCCTCAGTTGACTGGCAACGAGCAGAGCCCAAGGAAGTGAGAATACCTGTGCAAGCCTCAGCAGTGCAGCGCCTACTTGCTCTCTTGTTACCACCTGGCTATAAGATGCTGACGGGGTAAGCGATGGCAATGGATTAGGAGGTGGGAATGGTTGAAGCAAGGGCATGCCATATGGTGGAACAGGGGACACAGTGGGTAGTGGAAAGGGGTGGAGCAAGGGAGCACTTTTTGGTTGCCGGTCAGCAAAGGGAGGATGAAGTGGAGGAACAGTAGGCAGTGATGAAGCAGCATTAGCTACTGTTGAATGCGTAGAAGCCATCGGTGCAAGGAGTGGAGGTTTTGAATCTAAAAGACTTGCAGGTTGGATGGTGGTAGAGCTATTGGGTCTATGAGCATCAAAGGCCTTCAGAGTAACTGATGAAGTTCGTGAAGGAAGCAGACTGTGCAGGGAAGAAGAGTGTGGTGCAGTAGAATTATGTGATCCATGACTAGGAGAAGGGATAGCCCTGAAAGATTGGTTTGGTTGTACTGCGCCTGTTCCACCAATCGTATGTACACATGTGGCTGCCTGTTTGAGGAAATTCATGTAATGGTTAATTTAGATTGCAATCGATCATAATAAATATGAACAACATTTAAATTAAATCACAGCTATCCAAGAAAAAGAAATACAGCTATAAATGGAAGGGAAGTTTCCTTACCTTCGAAGGGGTTAGGAGGAACTCTTCAACATCGTCATCATCCATGGTAGGTGATGTCGGCTGTTCTAGAGTATCTTCAACTACAGGTAGAGCATATCGTCCAGATGCTGCTTCTGGTTCTTCAAATACACTGTAACAGACATAGTAGGAGAGATAGTTTCAACATAACACCTAGCCAACTGTAGGTGGTGACATTTTGAGTTCAAGGGGATCAATTCAACTAAAAGTCACACTCACACTGTATTTTGTATTCTCTCTTTCTTTTTCAATAATATATTCAAGCAACTCAATGTTCATCCCTCTTTTCTTTGAAAAGTATAATAATCAACGTGGTTATTAAACCTCATGGCCTAAAAGGGCTTTAATGCCAAAATTATTTTGCTACTTTTGTATGGGTATCTACTGCAATAATCATACTTTTCAAAGAATGACCATATGTGAAGAGAAAATACTGAGCATGAAATTAGAAATGATTAGTAAAATGAAAATGGGGACACAAAAGGTAAATATAACAAGTAAACATAGCAACTCCTGACTTAAATAATTTTCAGGTACAGCCTTCTTTCCAATGAAAACAGGAGTGCATGCAAATCTGGTATACCTTTTGGAAGAAAAATTTGCCTTGGGTGACGCCCTTGAATATGCATATTCTATCCTATACATTGAATGTGAGGCTAATCAGTATGAATAAAGAAAAGTACATAAAACTTGCAAAATCTTGTCTTGCCCTTCCCCTTCTATAACACCTAGTTGGCACACATAAGGAACTACAACTCAAAAGTGGCCTAGAGTTAGTACGAGTCAGGATGTATTGGTTACACATTTATATGTCTGACCAGTGTAGATGAGACTGAAAGGAACAGATTAAATTGTTATTTAGTATTTCAGTAATCCATGTATTGAACAAGATGCGCGCGCGCGCGCACACACACACACACGAGTTGAGATACTAATACATACAATTTTACCAACTCATCTTAAAGATAATAATATTAGCACAGAAGCAGAACGCAATCTGAGATTAGCCAAGGCTGCAATTGCATAATTGGTGCATCTGCCTAGAAAGGACAGTACAAAAAAGGAGTGGATGATACCAGTGTGGATGAAATTGAAAGGAACAGATCAAATAGTTACCTGCTAAAAAGATGTGCAACTTCTTGACATTCCTGTGGATCATAGAACCAAATTCCAATGATTTCATCAGCAGCATTACGGTACATCAAGTAGGGAACTTGCACCTCAACCTCAAAATCCGTCAAGAGATCTTCGACTAGATTTTCTGTTCTAGGAGAAAAGGCAACATAAAATTCACATATTTAATTTTAACACTAATATAAAAAAGACAGGAAGTACAGATAAGAAATAACATCACTGACGTTGGTACCATTGGAAATCGAATAGACACATTTCGCTTAATCAACCAGAACTATGATTGGTAAAGTTGTCAGATGAATGAGCAAACATTGTTTCTGTTTCTGTTTGTGCAAAACAGCCACAAGTGTAAACCTAAGAGGAATCAATTTTCGATAAAGGAGCTCTTATGATGCCTAAGTTATCACGTTCCCCAGTATGAATATATTGTGAGTGAAACATCTGATAGTTTAACTTAACACAAAAGGCCAGCAGCGAAGCCTCTTAACTAAATTATGTACTGGTATCTGTATTTCATCGCCAAATGCTCAATCTATGATCTGTTTCAACATTTTTTATGTTCAACCAGGGTGAATTTGCACAAGTGTGTGTTCAATAAAGTAGGTGTGCAAGCATACCTGTGTTTATACGGTTCATGATGACCAATTGGAATCTGGGTTGGGTGTTCCTGCAAGAATAAGCGCTTATTATTGCAAAATAGACGGGATAAAACAAGGCGAACTGCACTCTTCATGGTTGATAGAGCCAATATCTTCATCACAATTTAAAATAACTACAAGTAAGCCAGAGCATCAACAATGTCACTAGTTGAATATTGAACGACACTAAATTACATGATGGAACTGTCATCACATACTTTACTAAAAAAAATAAACAGACACGGCTACAATGACATGGAAAGAAAATGTTACTGAACATATTCCATGGTGTCCTATGTTGTCTACGAAATTAATCTGTATTTACCCTGACACATTAGTAGATAGTATATATTAGGACCAGGATCCGCAAAACACATGACCCAGTATAGGTGCGCACTACGTTTATCAACTGCAAAATAAACCAATAACAATACCAACATGTGACCAATAGCGGTTACCGCAAAAGGCACATCAATGTGTTAGCAACAAGCCAACAACACAAAATAACATGTGTACTCCTTGAATCACTTTCATTGAAATGACATTACTGTTTCAAAAGCAGCAGGAACAACAGACATAAGATAAGCAAGCTACGTTTGCTACACAGCAGAATCCAAGTACAGTAGCTACGAATTCTGGGCATCCATCCAACAGCCCAAACCGACACCAAGTGCAAGGCAAAGCGTGAAGTCACAAACTATGGCGATGGATGAAATCAGCGCGAGTCCATTGAGGAGGATTCAGGATAACTGCACAGACCTCTTGACGACGAAGAGCGACCCCTCCACAGGCTTCCGGGTCTGCAGCAGCCACGCGCGCGCACATAATCAGGGCTCGCAATTGCAACAGAGCGAAATCGAACGGGAGATTGCAAGGAACCGGTACGGCAGCGTACCCACTCCCTCTCGCCCTCGTCGAAGCTGTACGCAACGACGTGCGCGGCAGTGATGAGGATGTCGGCGACGGCGGGGTCGAGTCGCCGCAGCACGCTGAGGTTGAGCATCCGCGTGCCCTCCCGGTCCCACGCCAGGTTCGGCGTCACCTTCACGCCGCCGCCGCCGCCGCCGAAGCCGCCCCGCCTGCTCCGCGCCATGGACGCGCGCGCCTGCGCCGGGAACCCTAGTTGCCGTGAGGTTTTTCTCCGCGCAGGTTTCTGGACGGGATTGGAGAGAGTTGTGCAGCTCTGCTCTCTGTCTCTGGACGGGCTTGCATAGTTGCATTGCAGCGTGTACACCGCTGTTGTGGCAGCTGATCTTTTGGGTCCACTGGTCAGTTTCTCTTGCACGCGTCCCCACCAGCAGCGACACGGTAAGGAGTGCCGTTGTGATGTCCGGGGAGAGTTGGGCTGACGGCTTTGGTTCAGTGTGATCAGTGATGGCCTAGGAAGAGCGAAAGCCCAGTATGGACTTTCAGCCTGATGGGCTGTTCAACGGGTCGCCTGCGATTTTGAGCACAATACTATGGGAAAAAGTCCACATTATCTCTCTCAACTTTCGCGAAAATCCGTTTTTCCTCCATAAACTCCAAAATCGGACAAAACACCTTCCTCAACTTTTAAAACTGTTCATCTTACCTCCCTGGCCCAGTCATAAGCGGTTTTGAAGGCGGTTTTATTTTTTTATTTTTTATTTATTTCGGCTGAATCTTTGAAAAATCATAGTAAATCACAAAAAATCATAAAATAGAAAATTCAATTTTGTTGGACTCCATATGAGTAGATCTACATAGTGAACATATAATATGATATTCTTTAATACAAAATTTTTATTGTAGATTTAGATCTATGTTTTTCTGTAATTAAATGGAATAATTCATAACTGCAGTTTTTATGTTCCAATTGTAGTGAAATTTTTATGGTGGACTAATTATTATATGCTTAAATTATAGTAAAAAATTATATTCATTGGATCATGTATAACTTAGTTATAGATTTTATTTAGGTTTACCATCTGCTGATCAATCTACCATCACGGGATACCTCTCGGTGGACTACCGAGCATCTTTTGTCGACAGTAATGCTTAAGTAAAGGTGATGAGCAAATGGTGTAAATGAAAAGTGCAACTTTAATTTTTGAAAACAAAGGTTGTTAATTAGTGTTCTTGGAAGCTCAAAAATCAAATTGAAAATTAAAATTAGCCATTTTCGTTGAATCGGCAAAAAATTGAAGTTGTGTTGAAAGTACACTTTTTGGCGATTTTATAAAATGCAAAATAGTTAAATAACGCCCTAATGTTTTGGTTCTATTGTTTGGTATAAAGTGTGTGTTATGTCATGAAATGGTTGTTGGTAAAGTGTGGTAAAGTTTATGCCGTTTAAAAATTCAACCAAAAGTGCTAGGGAGTGTTAGTTCTAACTCAAACCTTGAATTCCTTTTAAGTCTAAAATGATGATAGACAATGCTACTTCGACATTTAAATATCCGCAAAAATTTCTAAACGCCAACTTCATGTTTTTGCACTGTCAGTTGCGTCGAAATGAGCACTTGAGAACGGTATAGGTCGAGGTGGCGATGGGTGTCACGACACTCGTAGAAATTGCCTAACTTCGTTAGAACGCGCTGCGGACCGTGAATTGCTGCTCGGTTCGCGAACCAGCGCCCAGCTTGACAAACCCATCTTGGCACCCTCCTATCTCCCTCTCGGGTTGCTCTCGGGTCCTTGCGATGGTTTCACTGGGTACATGGTATAATCGACTTTAGGTTAGGATATGGAGTCGAACCCTAACCTTGGTCGTTAGCGGTTTTCGCGCTGCTTTAAAAATCATGTGTGTTGCCATTTCGGTCGTTGGACTTCCGTGGCCGCGGTCACCACATGAGTCCGATGCCACGGCTGCCCGGTCGCTCCTGGCCATGGTCGCTGCTCCGCTGGCCGCACAACGGGCCGAGGTGGGCAGCGCTCGTCTCCGCGGGTCTAGGCTGGGGTCACCGCCAGCGTGGCCGTAGGCGGGACGAGCGGACGTCGTGGCGACCACCGTCTAGCCGATGTAGCGACTGCCCCGCCCCTCGTTCCAACTACCGCAACATTGATTCGGTCACCCAGGAGACGAGGCACTTCCCTACCCTGACTGTGCCGCTGTCACCACACCATGGCCATCCGGTCCTGGTCGCTGTGCTGAGGTGACGCTCCTCTGCCTGCCTTGTCCCGCTAGCTGCCAAGGAGAACTCTGCTCGGGTTCGGCCGACTCAATTTATGCATGTCGCGCCAATGCTTGCTCTGTCTCGTTACTTGTGTGCACGGGTTCGAGTGGCAGCAAATGGCCAGAGCCACCGTCTTAATCCGCTTGAGCTCGTTCACATATTCCTCCGCGAAACAACCACGGCCTAAGCTTCGTGCCGCCGCCCATCGGTTTAGCTAGCTCACGGCTCCACGGTCCGATTACTCGCGCCAGTAGGTGACTTAGGGAGCTATCTAGACACTCTGTCTTCCCCATCTCCGGCCGATCACTATTGACCTCCAATTTGGTATTTTTGCTCGGGGTCGGCCGGAGCGCCGCTGTGACCTCAAACTTGGAGGTAAGGCCCGTCGGGCTGATAGAGGTTCAGTTACTTGCGGTCGGGAATTCGTCTTGACCCTCTCTAGCTGGAGCTCGCGTCCTTCTGGCCAGGGACCTCGCTGGAGATGCGGTGACACGCTAGTGTCCGGTTGGAGCACCGCCGCACTATCAGCTGGCACATGGCCAGCGCTGCGGGGGCCATCTCTGACTTCACCACCACCTCGACCTTGTGCGTTGTAAGCTGCTTGTAAGGAAAATGGACCTTTGACCCATTTACTTTGAATTTTGATGTTTGATGACCAACACAACCAAATTGGACTAATGAATTTGCAAGTGATTGTTTTATAGTTCAATAGGATGCAAGACGTGACTTGGACGAAGGCGACGTGATGATCCGATGATCAACACCATAAGCAAGACCTTAGAAGCACAAGAGAAGATCCAAGATATCAAGCAAAGTCCAAACACGAAGATAGGAACCAAGCCAAACGCAAGATCATGAAGAAACGAGTTTATAGAGGTGACCGGACGCTGGACCGGATGCTAGACCGGACGCTGGGTGCCAGAGTCCGGTCAACATCAGTAAGGTTCCAGAGAGCCATTTTCGTGACCGGACGTGTCTGGTCAGTACTGACCGGACGCTGGTCAAAGGAAACATATCTAGGGTGTTGATACACTATTTTAGTAACCTCCACTTACATAGTGCTTAGTGTTTCATTAGGTGATGAGCGTAGGTGCTTTGCGAAGTGCTTAGGTTGATTAGACCATAGCTTATGCGCTTGCTCTAGGTTTAGGCCTAGTGTTTAGTGAGGTTTGCATACCTCTTACCACTCGATGCTTGCGCACATCATTGTTGTACATCGGAGGGACTTGTAGTCTTACGAGATCACACCAACCGTGTGTTGTGGTGTGGCTGCCACCGTGTACCGGAGGGAACAAGGCCCGTGGCATTTTGGCCGAAAGCTTAATAGTGAAGACGGCGGGGAGCATCCGGGAGAGGCTTGCCGGAAGGCACGTCGAAGACCCACTTACGCGTGGGGAAGGCCCGAGGCTATCCACGGAGTTACCCGACCGAGAGCTTGGCCCTTGAGAGGGATTCCTTGTGAGAGGCTCCAACGAGGACTAGGGGGAAGCTTGCTTGCTTCTTAATACCTCGGTAAAAATACCGAAGTCGTCGACGGGAGTTTGCATATCTCTACCTTGCTCTTTAGCTTTCGTATTTACATTGATTGCTTTACTCCTTTTGTGGTAGAGATAGCAACACACTAGCAAAATCGTAGTTACACATTTAGAAAGTTTATCTTTTGCATAGGTTTTTCTAAGGTTAGAAAAAGAGGCCATAGTTTAGAGTTAGATTTTTAAGTTGCCTAATTCATCCCCCCGCTTAGGCGTCACGGTCCCCTACACTGCTGATACTCAATCGCCCCTTTAGTTCGTTACTTACGTAAGCTCGCTGGATCGCTCGCGCCGCCGTGGCGGTTGGGCCGCCGTCGTGGGCAGCGTTGTAGAAGTCACCGTTTAACTCTTGATCGTCGCCCAAGGTTTCATCTTGGCTCCGCGGCGCTCGTCGGCTCGATTGCGAGGCTGGTGTTTTGTTCTGGTGGTCGGTGTCCGTGCGCTGCGCCGGCCGGAGTCATGCCGTCGTGCGCAGACCGCCGGGGACCATCCTGTAGGACACGTGGACGCCTAAGAGGGGTGTGAATTAGGCAACTTAAAAATCTAACTCTAAGCTATGGCCTCTTTTTCTACCTCTAGCAAAACCTATGCAAAAGATAATCTATCTAGATGTGCAACTACGGTTTTGCTAGTGTGTTGCTATCTCTACCGCAAATGATAATAATATGATCAATGTAAATGCGGAAGCTTAAAGAGCAAGGTAGAGATATGCAAACTCCGTCGACGACGACTCGATTTCTACCGAGGTATCGAGAAGCCGCAAGCTTCCCCTAGTCCTCGCTGGAGCCCCTCGCAAGGAATCCCTCGCAAGGGCCAAGCTCCCTGGCCGGGTAACTCCGTGATAGCCTCGCCTTCCCCACGCCGCAAGTGGGTCTCCGATGTGCCTTCCGGCAAGCCTCTCCCGGATGCTCTCCGCCGCCTTCACTATCAAGCTTTCGGCCGAAACGCCATGGACTTGTTCCTTCTGCAGACACGGTGGCGGCCGCACCACAAACGCGGTTGGTGCGATCTCACAAGACTTCAAGCCCTCCGATGTACAACTCTTGTGCTCGCAAGCATGGGGTGGCAAGAGGTATGTAAACCTCATCAACACTAGGCATACACCTAGAGCAAGCGCATAAGCGGTGGTCTAATCAACCTAAGCACTTCGCAGCACCTACGCTAATCACCGATGAAACACTAAGCACTATGCAAGTGAAGATCACTAGAATGGTGTATCCGCACTTTTGGTATGTTTCCTCACCCCACTATTTCTCAAATGGCGGTTGGGGTTGTATTTATAAGCCCCACCGAGAAAGTAGCCGTTGGGTCGAACTCCTGCAAATTTGCTCTTCGACCGGACGCTGAATCGTCCCGACCGGGACGCGTCCGGTCCGTCTGACCGCTAGCCGCTGAACTACCGATTGACGCCGCCAGTCCGGTCA